CGCAGCATGATGGATATTGCAAATAAATTTTCTTTTAAATTATATTTCTTATTCAACTCCAAATCAGGAGTCTAATTATTACTGTCACCAATGTATTAATTTACCTAGCTTTCACCAGCTATTACACTGACTATTTTTAAAGAACTTGACTTGCACTTAACTTGTCTAATTTGTTCTAATGGACGTATTCTGTTCATTTCAACAGTTTCTTTGGTAATGTTATTGAGAGATGATCACTGAGATCTACCCATGTTCAAGGATGCAAATGATATCGGTAAAACTAAAACACGGGAATTAATCATCATCCTTAATTCGTTTTCTATGAAAACTATTCTCAAGCTCTGGAAATGGTTCTTTTATCTTCTGCCAGGTCAGCGTTCGCGTGTGCCTTCATTCTTTACCATGAATGTCATGCATTAACACACACACCCCACCGCCCCAAGATCTGTTCACGTTAAGAAGTTTCATCATCTCTGTATGTAAAACCATTTTTGGGTCTGGAAGCAAGTAGGCACTGAAAAGTAGATTACTGTCTGAAACTCCTTCAATGGTGTTTACTACAGTGTTTTCAGATCTTGCTTGAAGATGGCAGCAGTAGTGTAAAATCAGATTTATATTTAGGTCATTGAGGTGGTGTGAGAGTATGACTGTGTCAGCTGATCCTGGGTAACTCTGATTCTGATTTGTGTCTCTGTGAGAGGGAATCTGCAGCAGACAGCAGAGTAAAATCTGTGTAAATGAGAATCCTAGTGACTTACTACTGACCAGAGCCACAGCTGATCATACACAACACACAGCCCAAGAAGACTGTGTTGATGTGTAACTCCATCATGTTATTATTGTTCTTCCCTCTTCCTCCCTTCTCTGTATTTCGATGGGAATAATTAATTATGGCATGTTGATATTTGCTGCCTTTGGCTGGAGCATTTTAAGGCCATGCCTGATACGGATTCTCCAGTGCCTAGTAAGATGTGCTGTAATGCTGCAGCTTTTCTCTTAGTGAGGAATTCATAGAATCACTGGGTTGGAAAAGCCCTTAGAGATCATCCAGTCCAACCGTATCTGTCCGCCACTAAACCATCTCTCTCAGCCCCTCATCCACCCGTCTCTTAAACACATCCAGGGATGGTGACTCCACCACCTCCCTGGGCAGCCTGTTCCAGTGTGTGATAACCCTTTCGGTGAAGAACTTCTTCCTTACGTCCAACCTAAACCTCCCCTGGCGCAGCTTGAGACCATTCCCCCTTGTCCGATCATCTGTTATTATGGAGAAGAGACCAACACCCACTTCTCCACAACCTCCTTTCAGGGAGCTGTAGGCAGTGATCAGGTCTCCTCTCAGCCTCCTCTTCTCCAGGCTAAACAAGCCCAGTTCCCTCAGTCGCTCCTCATAAGACATATTCTCCAGACCCTTCACCAGTTTTGTGGCCCTTCTCTGGACACGCTCCAGGACCTCAATGTCTTTCTTGTAGTGAGGGGCCCAAAACTGAACACAGTACTCGAGGTGCGGCCTCACCAGTGCCCAGTACAGGGGGAGAATTAGTAGGGTCTCTCCTATCCTACTGCCTCTTTTCATTAAAAATGTAGGAACAAAACAATCCTTGGGTGTCTGGTCACTCTAACAACTGGGACAGCACTGACAAATGGCAAAAGAAGTGGGGAAAGTAGAGAGACACAATGGCTTTGCTTCTAGGGCAAGTCTGTTTCCTCTTAGCTATCATAATTGTAGAGGGTTACAAGAGCATCCTAAAAGGGAAATAATTGAAGACAACACTGAGAAAATAATACAAACTAACTAACTTGTTCTATAGATCATGGTTCTTAATGATTCAGTGGGTTAAAATGGTATTTTAGACCCGTTCAAGAGGGCGGTTTCAAGGCAAATCTCCTCATCTCCCCTCTAAAGACATGACTTGGAAGTCTTAAAGTGCATGAACGGTCTTGCTCTCAGCAGAAAGTGAGCCAAGAGATGTGCTTCAGGAGCGCACCTGACACTTTGCAGATGATAATGGGAGTTCAATCCGGGGTACCAGCCTGGAGCAGCTTTGTGGGAAAACCCTTGCCACGTGCCTGGATATGGTCATCAGGTGCACGGCACCAGCTGCTTTGCAGCCCAGCTCTGCTCCTGTTGTACCACATGTCTTCCTAATGCAGGCAGCCAATCTATTCCAGGGACCAGGAAACATCCGTCTCCACAAGGCCTCCTTCCCAATGTCCATTCCGTGCTCTTTTTCCCCAGAATGCCAAGGATGTTTAATCATTCCTTCTATTAAGACTTTCCGTGCATAGCTCCCTTTTAGGAATACGCCTGACAGACAGCCGTTTCTTGTAATGATACTAACACATTTGAAGAGGAGAATAAAAAGCTTGGCTTACCCTCTGGAGCTCAGCACTCGGAGCTTCCCTGCATACTCTTCCAAAGAGCCACACTCTGGGGGTTTTCCAGTCTGGGATTTTCCAGACCAGACACAGGGGCAGCTGGTTGACCGTCTCATTCTTCCAGAGGTGCTTCTCACTGTGAGGATGTCCGTGAGCTCTGCTCACCTACATCTAACCCATAAGCAGGAGCCCTCTCATCCCAGGTGTCCTGTTTTCTGCTCTTATCCAAATAAATCCTGTATCAGTCATTAGACAAAGTGTTTTCCTTGGGTTGGGCTCTAGCGTTGAAACTATAGCTGGTTTGGTAGAAGAGTTTTCACCTGTGTTGAAATCCACTACTTCCTTTGAGAGTTCTTGTATGAAAGTACAACGAAAGCCTCAGAGGAAGTCACAAACCACATCCGTGCAGCCATTGTCAAGACTGGAGGACCCATGGACAGCTGGAGAGGCTAAACATTTTTAAAAGTTAAGTCAGGACATCAGAATTTAAGAAATGCCAGAAATTGTATTTTTACTTTGTTCTTTGACTGTGAAAAAAGACCATCTATGTAAACTTCAGCACACCCTTCTAAAGTTAGCCTCAGCGTAAACTTTAGTGTCTTTGGGTTCCAGCAGGTTCCATGAAATTCTTGACCAGCTTTGCAGAGTTTGTGCTATCCACTGCGATTCAAGTTTTTGTATTATTGTTTTTCTTTGCAACTATGACATTATACTTCTTTTTGATGCAAAAGCTTCATTTCTGAGTTAATTCTGTAATACTAAGAGTTGTGATAACAAGCAAACTTCCAAATAATGAAAGACTTAGAGCAAGAATTGTGATCGCAACATCAAAAATCGGCAGCACACTTATTCTTACAACAGAGCACTTCTGGTTATCAGTAGTGTGGTTTGTTGGGTACATGTAAAGTCCCATCAAGCTTTCCTCATCCTGAAGAGAGTCTATTTTTATCTCTGTTGTGAGCTTATAGCCTCTTTTTCTCACCCTTCCTTGGGATGAATTAATCACATCGCCGAGTGGGAACCCAAGCCAACTTAGATATGAAGCTTATGCTGTCATCTTCACGAAATGGTCGTTGCCCTATGACAATTAGCAAATATTAGGCCAGAAAAGGATGTCATTTATTACAGCAGTAATATAATACTGATGTGTTATGTTAGTTACGTTGGAGAAGACTATGAAATGCTGGGTCCTTTCTCTTGCAGATAGATAGGATAGTAAAGGCCAAGGCTTGAACAGTGTAAATGCTGCCAGTGTCCTGTGGCTGAGGTATAGGGCGCAGCATGTCAGAAAAGGTGAAGGAGGAGAGAGAAATTGGGGTTTGATGATGATTTTCTTCCATATCTAAAGAAGACAGTCTCATCTTTAAAAATTACAAGAACCTGCATGTTTTCAAAAGTAGCACTTTAGCTGTTATTTGAATTGTATTTCTCCGATTATTTGCATTTTTGCAGGGCCTGATAACAGAGTATCCCTCTCACGATGGTTTCCCTTAAAGCTGTTCAGACTAAGCATTGCTGAAAATTAGATCATGATTCAATAGAGCAAGCAATTTAGGGCTTAACTCCAGGCCTCGATAACCCAGAGTGTGATTCTGTAGCGTAGGTTGGTTTTGGCGGCAGGAAAGCTATAAAATCCTGTCATCCACCTCAGTATTCACTTATGACAGAACTTGTCTCTCAATCCAATACTGACCTTTCTGTCAGGCGAACAGCAGTCTCACAGTTTTCCTACTACTGCTCACCACAGCATGAAACATGACTTAAAAGTAAAGTTGATGTCCTTATAAAGCAGATCGGCTGAGGTGGTGGCCGCACGTTTCAAAGCACTTGGTGACAGCAACAGTTTTAGGTGGTGTCATTCTCATCTTCCCCAGTATAGTTTGTTCCAGTAGCCTGTGCCGTGGCTTCCTTCTGGTTAAGGTCTCTGGGATCGGGCTGGGAACTGGGTTAGGAGATTGATCCAAATAAACAGTCTGTTCAGACTTTTTCCTTGTCAAGTTGGGGCAGGGATGAGCAAGAGATGGAGAGATTTCAAGATGCATCTGAAAACTCTAATCATGTACCCCTCAACCTATTAGATCCCCGCTTCTCCGTTAGGTGTGCCTCGCAGCTGAAGTGCCACAAATGCCACTCAGATGCGACCAGGACTAATGTCACTACTAGGGAGATGCCGACTAAACGTCTTGCCAGGCTGCCGGTTGTACTTACATACGGCTATTTAAGGTTTTTAAAGTTTTTTAAATTATTTAAAGTTTCTTAAAGTTTTAAACTTGGGGAGGAGGAGGAAGAAAACCCATAAGCTGTGCAATTACATTGATATCGATAATTACTGCTAGAGTTCATTAGATTTCTGCAGGTGTGTTGTTCTTACCATCACCAAGCCTTCTTTAGGAGTGTTTGGATGCTACCATAACATGAATAAATGAAATTTCTGCCTTCCCAAGCCTGATTCCGCAGCATTACGCAGGATGTGTTGGGTGCTCTCACCTGCCTGCTGTGAGCAATTTTTATTTTGCAGGCCTGTGCCTTGGAGTCCAAGGACCGTTCCTGTCCCGTGAAAAAGCTGGAGAGGTTGATAAGCCGCCAGCAGCTTCATGTTCTGTGCTCTTCCTTTGTTGCAGCAATTCAGCTTTGTCTCCCTGCCTACGGATGTCCTGGAAATAGAAGTTAAAGACAAATTTGCAAAGAGCCGACCGATCATCAAGCGTTTCCTGGGAAAACTCTCTATGCCGGTTCAACGCCTCTTGGAAAGACATGCCATAGGGTAAATTTGCTGCTCATGCTACTTTCCGTTGTTTAACAGATGTGTTGCTGTTTTGAAGTCCCTGGTGATATATCATTATAGTTGATATAATGATATTGACGGGGTGTTATTAAACTGACAGTTGTCTGATAAATGACATTGGTCTTAATTAGAATTCATAGGACTATGGGCCTGACAAAGAATTCCCTCTGTAACACTATCCATTGCGTTTTGAAAAATGAGAGCTGGCATTTAGGAAAGAAAATGGTTTTGTGTGTATCATGGCTGCGAATCTGGAGAGTGCAATATTTTCAATTTGGATATTACGTTATCAACAGGCTGTTTTCATGTTTCAGGGAATTACCTATGGGCTAAAATCATGCCAGATCTGTTCCTCCTCCCTTTAATTTCTGGACAGTGGAAATACTATTAAAAAAAAAAAAAACCCACAACACGTGGCATGTTGTAACTAAACGTTTCCAACCCTACCCTGCTGCCAAGGAATAATCAGTTCACTCGAGCTCACCAGCCTTGCGCTGTTTCCCCTTTGCATGAAAGTCCTGGGAAGGTGTATGCTGCCAAAGTAACACAAAGCAATTTTAGGAAGATGGATAGTGTGCAGACAAAGCCGAAAAGTTGGCTCTGAACTTTACGGCTCAGACCTGGAGGAGCAGGGAGAGAGAGGGAGCCATCAACTGAGCAGACCATCGACAACGCGGTTCCCAAGAAAGGATTTTTGAAAATTGGATCTCAATTCAGCAGAACAGCAGGAAGCTGAGCTTGTTGGAAATGGTTTTGAACAGCTGGTTCAGAAGCCGGCTGTGATATTGACAGCTGAATGTGCCAGAAGGAACTAAGCTACCTCCCTCTTTCTCAAGTAGGGAAGATAGAGTAGCTGTTTAGAAACCAGATGGGAAAGAACAGCTTGGGGAAGGTAAAGCCCTATAGCTGATATCACCGACTTCCCTCTATATGAGATTCTCATCATCTTCTGATTATATCTTCCTATTTTACTTTCTTATCGTAAACACTGTCTATCTAAGGATATACTTTGCCAAGAACAGCGCCTCCAGCCTGCACCTCGATCTGGCTTAGTTTTAATGCCATAGTGGCTTTTAAATCTCAGGCAAGCTCACTGACAAGTATACACACAAGTTCAGAAAGATCGTACACAAAACTTGAGTTCATCTCATTTATATGACTTTCTGCTGCATGTGAAACCATCCTAGCAAACATACCGGGCCCAACTGGAACTGAACCATGTTTCTTCAAAAGATGTGTAAATATGACTATTTAGTGAACCCTTTACACTCAAAAAATGCTTTGCAAACCTTGATTCAGCCTCATTTTGGGCAGCTGGGAAGTTAATCTCTTCTATAGTTTCATTCTGTTCTGAGGGGTGGATGAAGTGTGGCAAAGGGAGGGACCTGCACAAGGACAGAATGGAGTCATTGATCAACCTTGTCAGGAAGGTGTTCTCCTGATATTTCAGCTTCATAGAGGTAAGAGGGGTGGAAATAGATGAAGGGCAGTCATTCAGCCAGTTTGGAAAGAGAAGGTGGTAAGCGGGGACTGGCCTGTACAGGATTTTGAAAGAACAGAGGAAAGCTGAATTTCATGCCGATGGTGAAGGGAAGGACGTACAGAAATGCAAGGTTCTACAGAAGGGTAGATATGGTCAGATCAGCAGGGAAATGAAGTGTTACAGTAGCTGAAGTGGGAGTTGTTCGCTTCCCATGTCGATATTTTCATACCCATACTGCAGAAGTTCCATTACCACTGTTCTTTCTCTATATACACATACGTGCTTGTGTATCGCAGAAGCCTGTCCTGTTCACTGACTCAGCCGCTCCATTGTAATTGAAGACATTGTCCTCTCCTTCTCTGCCATTCCTTCTCTCGTGTGCAAGTCAACACGCCCTCATGGCTGGGAACAGCCCCTGAGAACCATTCTGTATTGTTGTAGGGCGCCGCAGCTTTGTCTGTGCACAGTAGACGTTGGGTGGGTTATAGTCTGTGGTGACGGGATTTGTTTTCTTTCAGGGACAGGGTTGTAAGCTACACGCTGGGTCGCAGGCTTCCTACAGACCATGTCAGCGGCCAGCTGCAGTTCCGATTTGAGATAACGTCTTCCATCCATCCAGGTAATTCTCAGTCTGAACCCACCGTTTCTCTAGATCTTGTGGTTGTTTTGATTTGCATTCTTTCCCCTCAGAAATCTGAATTCATTCCTGACTGCTCTGGGACTTTAGGTACGGTCATGAGCAAAGGAACGTGCATAAAGTCCCCCGCCACAGGATGCATCGTGAGTCACAACTTCTTCACTGTTTCCCCTTAGCTTAGAGCTACTGGTGTCTCATATCCCCCTGTTCTTGGCTGCTTCAGATGCTCTACCACATCAATGGGAGAGAAGAGGGTGGAAAACTAAAGTCTCATCTGCTTCTCTATCACCTGTCCTGGGGAAGCGCTAGCTGGGCTGTTACTTGTAGAGGCGTCTCCATTTGAACACTTCACAAGTAAAAATGGAGAATGTAATAGCAGAGGTGATCAGAAATTTTCTCATTTTGATTATTTTTAATGGAAAAAGTGAAACAAAAAATAACTCAGTGTTCCCCTCCTTTTCTCCCCTTTGGTTTGGTTTTGGTTCACATTCTCTTGTAGTTATTAGGAAGTCACTGTCATGGTGGTGTGAGTTTGAACCTTGGTTTTCCCGTAAAGTCTCAATAGCATTGTTCAGGGATTTTTTGCCTCTCTGTGGTAGTGCGCTCTCAGCTACACTTTGTCAAGCCAACAGCAGCTGTGTTAGTCATTGGAAATCACGACCTGCCTCTTGCTGGAAAACTTTCATTTCTGTCTTCTGACTGTTTGGATGGTGTGAAAGAGCCCAGGTGGTCTGGCATCCAGGAGGATGTGGTACAGATGAGGATCACATCTATGGGGGAAAGTTTCTGCCTTTCACGGATGTGAAAAACGGTTTTTTTAAGTTCTCTGTTGTAGAGTCCTGTCAGCTTCAGAGAAAAATGTCATTAGAACCTCAGGGAAGACTTCCGTGTCATTCCCATGATATCCCTCCAATGCCAACTTGACTCAAAGAGGAGTTTCAAAAAGGTGTTAACCTCCAGGTTATGTTGCAAGAAGGCAGGGTGCTGCGTACGGATTATCACCATGAATAAGCCCCACGTTTGTTAAATCCACGGTGCAAAGACTGCCTAGCCAAAAAAAGCAGCATTTCTTGATAGTGGCTCAGTTGCCTGCTCGTTTCACACTGCAATTTACGTTTTTAATTTTTTCAGGTTGCTGTGGATGCCTGTGCCCCCACAGCCAAGCTCCTGGTTCAGTCAACGCTTCTTGTTAAAGGAGTAAGTAATTTCTTTTCCTGTCTCACACAGATGATGAAGAGGTCTCCATTAGTGCAGATCCTGAGCCGGCTGACCTCCAGGAAAGCCCTGTGAACAACCCCACGGAGGAAAGCCTCGGTGAGCCTCCATGCATCATCAACACAGTGACCTCAGAAAGTACAGCTCCAGAACAGCTAAATGGATACGATAGCCCAGGGGCTGTCAAATCACCTGGGGAAGTCAACCAGAACAGCTTAAATGAAGAGCTAGCAGGAGATGGGGAGGTTGATGCGGTGCCAGTTCCTGAGCCCCTGGAATCCGTCCCGGGAGAAGTGCTGCCTTCTTTGAGTGCTACGGACCTCACGGATCAGCTGGCTCTGCTGGCTTGCATGTCTCCTCCTGAGACTGAAGTTAGGGAAAATAATAAAGCCAATTCTGGTACTCAGGGAGATGGTGGCATCTCGACCAGCATAGAAACATTAGATACTGATGAGGTGAGTGCAGATGTGCATGCTGGCAAGGACCTAGAGAAGAGTCAGGAAGAAGAAGGGGCTTCAGCCCAGGAGGAGGAAGACAACAAGCTACAGCTGAGGACCACAGCAAAGAGGAAAAACAGGCCATGCTCCCTGCCCGTGTCTGAGCTTGAGACAGTCATAGCTTCAGCTTGCGGTGAGCCGGAGACCCCTCGCACGCACTACATACGGATCCACAACCTGCTCCACAGCCTGCCCTCGGCACGGATGAGCAGCGATGGGGAAGAAGAGCAAGATGATGGGGATAACAATGAGGAGTCTACAGTCAAGGAGGTGCTGGATAAGGAGGTGGTCAGTGAGAGTGAGACAGTGGCAGCAGAACCTCCTCTGGAAAATGAGGCTGAGGAGAACTTCAGCCAGAGCACAGTGCCTCCTGGGACCTTGGATGAGCAACTCTCTGACTTAAACGACGGGCTGTTGGATGGGGAACTCCCCAGGACAGGAAGCGAGAGCGAGTCGAGCTCCAGGCCCAACGGTGACAACGAATGCGAGGCGTGCGACACCTCTTGCTACAGCCCCTCTTGCTACAGCACCTCCTGCTACAGTACCTCCTGCTACAGCACCTCTTGCTACAGCACCTCCTGCTACGACAGTAACAATCGCTTCTCCAGCCACACACGCTTCTCCTCCGTCGACAGTGCAAAGATTTCCGAGAGCACGGTCTTTTCCTCACAGGATGAGGAGGAGGAGGAGAACAGTGCTTTTGAGTCAGTGCCAGATTCAGTACAGAGCCCTGAGCTGGACAGGGAGCAAGTGGATGGCTCCTCCCAGTGGCCAGATGAACTGGTAGCTCATGGTGGGGATCCACAGAGAGCCACAGAGGGTCTAGACACCCCAGTAGCAGGTCCAAGCAGCAGAAGAGAAGGTTAGATCCTGAGAATCGATGCGCTGAGGAACCCCGATTATCTGGATGTCACGGAAGGCATCAGATAATCGAGGTTTCCGATAGCTCACGGTTTGTTTTGCACAAATTTGGGGGCTGTGAGCTGGGCCAGATATCAGGGAGGGTTGGATAATTGAGCCTGTCCATAAAAATCCCAGCAAAACCAAATAAATCAGATGGGGATCAGTATATATGGATTTCTGTAGGCACATGTGCATCATTATAAAATCAAGGTTAGCTGCTGTAGTTATGTGCCAGATCAACATTATCACATCCACCAATTCATTCCTTATTTCCCGGGATTGTTCCATTTCACATATCCGATGTGCTGCCATGTCTCTGACAGTCAGTGAGAGGACCGGCTTGTGCGGAGCAAGGGGCAGATACGCTGATTTCCAGCAGCTGGGCCAGTGTCTGTATATGAGTGGTAGCCATGCAGGCATAAGCACGGAGAAATGCAAGTATTTGTCTCTTCCAAACCCAGGTGTCTAGCCCTGTTTGTTCCAGTTCCCCACGTGCCAAACAAAGCTACCTCAGACTTCACAGGAGAACTCAACAGTGGGTTTTTTCTTTTTTTCCTTAGATGCTTTGAAAAATTGGACTATATTTAAAAAAAGAAATCTCCTTATCCTTCTCTAGACACAAAACCTACTAAAGAAAGTCAATTTTTTTGTCTTCATAATTTAGGTCCTGTTTGCCCCAATCCCTCCAAACCATTACCTTAAATTCGCCCCTTTGGTAACTCGTTTTATGTCAGATGAAATTACATGAAAAGGTGGGCTTGGCCACTCACCTTTTCTTCAGCTAGTGTATTGTTTTTCTCCCACCAAAGAAGCAGAGGCCTCAGCAGCAGCTAAGGAGGTCGGTTCTCATTCTCAAATCCTGAGCCGTCTGTCTCCCAGTATAAGTGACACCAAATTAAAATGTCACCGAAAGGATAACGCGCTTGGGGTTCGCTGGGAAACCTTGACTACAGCATCTTTCTACCTTTTCCTTCTCTATTCCTAATTTATTAACCCTCACTGTCCACTGCCCCAGACACTGCCCAGCAGGAAGGTGTAAGGGTGACGTTACACGCAGGGCTGTAAAGACTTTCTAGGCAGCTGGACCTAGGCAATTATTGGCTCTGCAGAGCAGAATCTAGCCCAAAACCATTAAATTCTCAGAAGTACACTGAGGTGTAGAAACCCACAGTTTCCTTCCTTGCAGGTGAGGGTCTTGGCGTGTGGACAGCATTTATATGCAGGTATACCTAAGGGGGCACCAGCGTGTGTGTGTGAGACCGTGCTTACGGATTGGATGGTTGGTTTGGGCTGGGTGTGCTTTTGAGACGGGATGTGGGTGGAGGGGGTGTCTCCTGCACATGGATTCAGTACAGCTCCAAGACTGCGCCCCTTGCGCCCGTGTAAAGGGTGCTGCGGTGGTCACGGTGGCTTTGATTAGCTGGAAGAGAGTCTGAAGGGCAGCCCTGGCCTTAGCAGCCTGTTGACGTCAGCGGGGGCGCTTCGGTAAATGCGCACGTTGCTTCGTGATTGGCAGCCCTTTCAAACGGGGTAGATGCGGTCACCTCCACCCACTCCCGGTGACTGGTACTGCCGTGCTTCCGCTGGCTTGGCGTAACTGTCTTGACTAGGGGAGAGTCGATTGCGGTGAGGTAAGTAAAGAAACGTAGATGGATGATCTGGTAGTCGGGGATATGCCACCTGTACTAACAGCTCGGGTTTGGGGCTGCGAGAGATGGACTTTTAGCGCTGAGTAATGACTCGCATAACTCTGCTGTCTCTTCAAAACACGCAGCAGGTGCAAGTGTGAGATCACACCTATACACAAGCGGTTTAACGAAGACGCTTAGCAGGCCACACGGTATCATCAGAGTACCTAGAAGAGGGAGTATTTTTGTCTAAGTAATTTTCTTCACTTCTGGATGGTGTGAAATTTTTTTCCAGTTTTATACAAAATTGGCCTCTGCCTTCTAGCTGTTGCTTGTTTAAAGGAAAAATATATTTTTTGGTGGTGTTGGTTTTTTGGTTTCCTTTTTTTTTTTTTCATTTGATAGCTATATGCTTGGGTTTTTCCAAAACGATCATGCTTAGGCTATTAAGATTCTCACATTAAAGGTAGCTAAATCAGCCAGCGCACAGCGAGTTTGGCTTAGCTCAATGTTCTATTTTTTAATTTTGAAGTACCCTTGTGTAATTTTCTGGCAATGTTGAAAACATTAAACTTTTTTTTTTTTTTCCTTAAACTGAATCTTTCTGGTGCATGATATATTTATGCAATTTAGACTGTATCTGAATAAACAGACCCACCTGGAGCTGGAGGTTGTTGTGAAAAATTGTTAGCCACACAAGATGAAAATGTGCCTGTTAATTAGATAAATAGTCTTGGTTTCCAAGTTTTAAGGACAGACCTAGAAGGAATCTCAATTCTACAACCTGTGAAGTTTTAACGTGCAGGTTCCTTATTCTCATAGCTAAGTCTAAGATGAGGAGTGCTTTTTCATCCCTACTATAACTTCTTCATTTCTTAGATGACTCTATCCTGACTGCATCTGAAGTTACTTGTTCCTTTCAACAGAACATGAGTTTGGATGTTTGTTTAGGTTTCATTTATTTCATATTTGGATATATAGACATATATACAATGTCAGTGTTTAAAGACTTCTGCACTGTCTACTCTGTGTCAAAAAAAATATCTCAGGTCTTCCTTCTTTATCTCAGATCCTGACTATGTCTCGCTATCTTTTGTCCTTCTCTTCTACCACCTGTCTCCTACCTGTTTCTGGTCCTTCTCTCATTCTCCCTCCTTCCACCCAAGTTGGACTCTTTGAATTTTGAAAAATACCTATAGAAGGGGATGATATTCTGCTTTGCAGGGACTGCAAAATCCTGACATTCCAGTCCACTGATACAGCCATTGATCTTCTGGAAAAGCAGAGAAAGATCCAAGACAGCTTTTAGCCTCATATTCCCCTGACAGGATAAATTAAAAGTTGGAACCAGGATTTTGCATGTTCCTGCCAATTTCTGCAGAAGCGGGAGTTTGGTTGTACATGCACAGTATTTCTCAGAGATCAAGCCTGATTCTTCTCTCGCTTACACTTGTGTGTCTATGAGTCTAGAATCTGGCCCATAATAGTTCATCATTGACTCAAACCTGAGATCAGAGCCTTGACTGCATTATTTTAATAATTCTTTGGCATCTGAGCTGTTATTAAAATAGTGCCTGAACGTAGGGATAACTAGAGCTGCTAGAGCACCAGGCTAACCTATTTAAAAAATAATCATTTGTTTTGCAGTAGCACATTTTTTGAACCACATTGTGAAAGCAGTGAATGACTGTCAATGTCTTGAATATCTTGTCCGTAGGTGATTGTCCTTTACTCCATAATTCTCAGCCAGTCAGCCAGCTTCCTTCTCTGAGGCCTGACCATCATCACTACCCAACTATCGATGAGCCTCTTCCGCCAAGTAAGCTTTAGTTTTTTAACTTATTGCATTTTTCAGCTTTTCCTGTTAACTCAAACAGTCTAGAGGTCAGTATGTCTTTCTAAATAACCCCATCTGTTCTGTATATACGTTCTGCAGAACCCAAGCAATATGCCCTTTTGGCTCCCTTATTTGACCCTGGCTTCAAGTGTCGTCATGTTATTTTGGACCAGCTCCATAACCTCCCTCTGCCTTGGTCTGTCTTCTTCCTTGGCTACCATGAAATGAAAATAATAATATTTCCCTGTTTCCAGCCAGGGCGTTTAGATGGGAATGAGTGGGTATCTGTCAGGTGTTCCGCAAGCCTTACTTTAAAGCTTTCTGGGTGGTGTATCAGCGAAGTACTCTGGGTTTTTCTATAATGTTTGCCTCCAGGTTTTCCATAACCAACTTCCAAGGTGGCTTGGGATGGCAGTCCGTGGTCTGCCAGCTCTGCTTGCAGGTCCACCAGGAACCCTTTCACAGTCAGGATGCTCCTGGAGCGGGTCCAAATCTGAGCAAAACCAGCAGAAGCTGGGAAAAGGCAGCTCACGTAGAGTGGTCGTCTTGTACTGTCCTTGGCTTTAATAATCAGTGAGTTTTATGTTCGTTATGGACTGTAATGTTGTCTGCGGTTGCGTTGGATGAAAATGAGAGGCTCTCAAGTGGCTGATCGGTTAGCAGGCTAATAATACCGGATTTTTACCACTGAATCAACCGCTGGCGATGTTATCACTTGTCTCTGTAGCCTTTCCCTTGTGTGTTCTGGAGGACTGCCCCTGCTTTTTGCGTTGTCGTGAAGCGCCCAGCAGAGCGCAGTCGATGCCCTGAGATGCGCTGCTGCTCACCTCCCGGCTCCAGCACATGATCTGACAACCTAAACCGTGCACAACAACAGCCAGGCCTATAAACAAAGCACTCCATTTTCTTCAAAGCCCGAGCAGGGAACGCACTTATTTGGCCTACGGTGCCCTCGACAAATAATTCATCATTTACCAAGCATGCCGTCAGTATTCCCTAAGCCGAAAATAGCCCGATGCTGGCATCAGCCTCACAGTAGCATGAATGATTCAGATGCCTTTAGCCCAATGAATTCTTACTGAACCCCGCTGTGGCTTGCCAGGGAATGATGAAGTGGGAATAGTTACCTCTGTAACAGGCAAGTATTTCTCTTCCTTCTACTTTTACCTCAACACATTGTGAATAGGGCACATTCCCCACTAGATGACTTCATATAGGACGCTGACACAAGCTCAAGTAAACAAAACAATACTGGGAATCTGTTCCATATTCGTCCATCACCGATTTAATCCATTTTTCCTCTTTCTTATAATTATCCTCAAAAGGCAAGTATTTCTACCACGGGTTTTCACAAGTGCTTTGACAGGAGGGTGTAAGGATGTGAAATGTAATTTGTGATGATACAGTACAAAAGTGATATCCTTTCGTAGGATTTTATTTTAGCATTTGCATATAACATCACTTTTGCAATGAAAGCTGATGCTGTGGGATACATATATTGATCTTAATAAGAATAGATTTTACTAAGTTAATTTTTTCTTTTAAAAAAATTTAATTGGATAATATCACCTAGGAAGCCTGTTTCCAAAAACTCTCCCTGAAATGTTAAGGTAATTTCAAAAAGAAAACTATAACCTTAATCTAGAAATGTATCTTCTACGATTCAGTATCACTATCTCAGTGCCTTTAATGCCTCTTAATCCTAGATAAATTGTTCTATAATCATGTGAAAGGAAGAAACTTTGTATTTTAAACCAGAGTTATATGATCAAACCTGGCTTACTTCTCACATGCAGCAATAGCTTCTGCCCCTAAGTAGACCTGAAGATAATTTGCCAGTACTGCAAGGTCAGTGCTGACTAGTTTTGCTTCGGTCATAGAGAATCTTCTGGACAATCTTCCTTCTCTTTTCAATAGTTTTCTTAACAACTTTGTTTCATCATAACCCCACAACAGTTGGTCTCAGGGAGGAAAATATGATTTCAGACAGTTTTATTGAGGAACGGAAGGTAGGACAGAGTCATTATTTATGTAGGAATGTCGTAATGAGCAGTCTAAATGTTAAGGCCTACACAGCATTGACAGAAGGTTTGCAGGGTTTGTACGGCCTCATGACGGCGTTAAGAGTCACCCTTATTATGGCGTGTGTTTGCTAGTGCTGCTGGAAACCCTGCAGAACTGAAGCCAACAAAAACACACATGCCCAGTTCAGAGCTGCTCTGTGCCGAAGGTGTGGCTGAGCTTGGAAAGGGAAAGACGGCGTATTCACTCTGCACCACCAGCATTATGGTCCTGCCAGGGAATGTTGCGTCTTCTGGTATAAATCAGAGCAGTTTCAGAGGCTGCTGTGAAATATGGAGCATGTCCAGAGAAGGGGCACAAAACTGGTGAAGGGTCTGGAGAATATGTCTTATGAGGAGCGACGGAGGGAACTGGGCTTGTTTAGCCTGGAGAAGAGGAGGCTGAGAGGAGACCTGATCACTGCCTACATCGCCCTGAAAGGAGGTTGTGGAGAAGTGGGTGTTGGTCTCTTCTCCCTAATGACAGATGATCGGACGAGGGGGAATGGACTCAAGCTGCGCCAGGGGAGGGTTAGATTGGGTGTAAGGAAGAAGTTCTTCACCGAAAGGGTTATCACGCACTGGAACAGGCTGCCCAGGGAGGTGGTGGAGGCACCATCCCTGGATGTGTTTAAGAGACGGGTGGATGAGGTGCTGAGAGATATGGTTTAGTGGCGGACAGGTACGGTTGGACTGGATGATCTCTAAGGTCTTTTCCAACCCAGTGATTCTATGATTCTATATGAGTTGGCTGATGGCGGGGGATTGCTGGAGAACAGCACCAGTACTGTCCCACCCCCAGCATGTGAAGGTTAGGTGGAGGTTAGTCTGTTGTACTCCTTATTTTGCCTGAAAAACTAACAAAAGGCTCCGAGGAGATTTGGCTGCTTCCTAGATCACCTATGTCCCTGAAGTAGCTTGAAGGGTCTTGAGCACAGCTCAGAAGCAGAGTTCTGCCCGTCAGTTCACCTGTTAGCCTGTTCATCTCTGCAGGTATCCATCCGTCTGTCCGCAAAGCTGGTACCGTGCGCAGCTTCAGCAACTCGTGCGGCTTACAGGTTGGCTTGTGGGGAGGCAGAAAGCGCACCTGTGTACAACCAAAGTATCGGCACCTGCCACCCTCTGACAGCCTGCCTGGGTGACCAAAAGAAGAGTTATTCCTCTGGTTAGAAACGCTGTCACAAGACGCGGTACTGCGGCAGGTCTCTCCAAAGCTGTGTGACACACTTCCTACTATTACAGCATGCCCCTGCAAGTGTCAGCCTCTGGTTTCAGGTGTATATACCCACAAAGCAATGAATAAAGCAGTGCTCCCAGACGGGTGTACTTCGTGTCCGTACATATTGCCGCTGGGTGTCTGGTGCAACCAACAGAGAGAACCTTCCTGAAGTTGTAATCCAGTCTGCATGATCCTGACCTGATGTTTCCACTGTGACCTCCAAGCTCTGGACAAGTTTCATATGCTCTTGGATTTTGCAGTATTATGCTTAGAAGCTTAGGAGCTCTGAGTTGCATTTAATTAGTCACTGCAACACAGCCTCTCGAGCTGGTAGTGCACAGGGCTGGATTACCAGAAGCCCTTCTCTGACTGTGTAATTGGGAAGTGTTATTCTTACTAAGCATCCATCAGCAGGATTCAGACCAATATGACCAGTTGGTATCTTCTGTAGGCTGTCTAGAGCGTGGAGCTACAGCATTGCCTACAAGCTTCTAATTATCCATCGACCTTCATTATTCTCAACTTGTTATGTGTGTACTACAGTACTGTGGGGTGAGGGGCAGGGTTTGTCCTTTGCCGGACAGCAGCAAGGAAAATTAAGATCTGAGCAATGTTAAGGTTGTGCATCATGTCACCTTTGATCTGGCCAAGATAATTTCCTTGAGGATATTGCAAATAATGCCTAGCTCCAGAAAGACCATTCCCCACCCGTGGCGGTACACATGTGACAGGATGCTCATCAAGGCTCTGGCCTTCGGCCTCCTGTCACCTAAGCGTCAGCCTGATTTCCTTCAATGTGCATCTCTTGTACTTGATGTGTGTTTTTCCCTGTCTTATGTTTTACACATTGTTTTCACAAAGCTGTGATCTTGTTCTTGAAAGAGCTGCAACATCCTTGGGAAACTTTACCTGGTGGGAGGAGGAGAGAGCCCTCTCCTCAAAATTAAATAGTGCTCTTCACAGTGAGAGACAGGTCTGTACCTGTGGTGTGACCGTAGGTTTTGCCTCTATGAGGACTGAAGTACTTAGAGTCAGCTTGGAAAGAAATAATGCACCTGCATATAGCTCTTGATGTTTTAAAGTCTTACAGAAAATTCCTCCAGTGCCCATCTTTTAAAGTTTGTGGGATTAGTGTGTCAGGGGCAGCCAGCCATAGACTTCAGACAGCCTTCACTTGTCTGGGACCACCGCAGGTATGAGACCTGAGTTTAGCCAGGCCCAGCGTTCAGGGGATGGGAACTGGTGATGAAGGATTGGTTTCCAGACACAGCAGGCAGAGGTACAACTTCAGTCCTACTCTGAACAAGGGGGAGATAAAGTATATAAAGTATGAAATCCAGCTGATCGTTAATTTGATCATAGAAAACCATAGACGGAGGAGTGGACTCCTCAGGGAGGAGGGTATCATAGTAAGAACATGGGAATAAGCAGAAGTGTTTGCCCCCAAAGGTAATCACCGTATGTGCCTTTGTGTGTGAATGTGAGTGAGGTTTGTATATAAACACGTGTAGACAGTATGTGCATATATTTACATAGCTTATGTCTTTGGCTGATGGATCATCTAGAAATATGAATCTAGCAAGCCTAATTTATAACACTACTTCATACATTCCAACCAATTTGGTATGTGGCTTTGCTAGCTAACTCACTTCTGAATTTCTCCTGTTCCAAACACTTTTTTTTATCAACATTACCATTTTTCACAAGCCATCATATAGTCTATAACTTTAAGTTTTCAGTCATGGGACAACTTAAACATGAGCAGGAAACGATGATGGAAGGCTCAGTGTTATGCTGCCAACTCTCAGTCTAGTTGGCGTTCATCAGAGCAATAGATTTATGATATTCATCTGTTTAGATAGATTTCTGAGGAAATGTCCAACCAGGCTGTGATCAGTTTTCAGGGGAGCCTTTAATTCTGATATGGTATCCTTCGAAGCCACTTTATAATAAAGAGGGAAATGAAATATGTTTGATCTGAAATGTAACAAAAAAAAAACAAACCCATGGGATTTGCTATATTAGTTGAATGTAATCCTTTTCTCCTAAGGGTCAGTTCTATGTGGCTACGCTGACCTGCAATGAATCCAGCCAACTAATTATGAAATTATCCAGCCCTTTATAAAAATGTAGCCACCATGCCACTTGTTCTTCATAGTCTATGGTAGTGAATTCCATAGGCTACGTATGTGCTGTGTGGGAAACGTTTACGTGTATGCATATACTGTGTATACATATATAGAGACAAGCACATAGTATATATACAGATTTGAATGTATATATGTGATATGAATATATACACATAATATATTGCACTCGTGTAAACTCTCTGTATAGTATTTCTCGTGTGTATATACCCTCTGTGTGTGTGTGTGTGTATATGTATCTCCCGCATTTCGATCTTCCTGGAAGGCATTGCACTGACAGCATCACCCCTTCCTTTTTTTTTTCCAACCCTAGACTGGGAAGCTCGGATAGACAGCCACGGGAGGGTATTCTACGTTGATCACGTTAACCGAACCACGACATGGCAGCGCCCCACAGCCGCAGCAACGCCAGATGGGATCCACAGGTCTGGCTCCATCCAGCAAATGGAGCAGCTGAACCGGCGGTGAGCACTCGCACCTATATTCCCTTGAGATCTGCGCTCCCTTTTTTCCACACTGCCCCAGTGGCTTCCTTCCTTCATTCCTTCCTCGGTGCATCATGTTGGCTCCCTAAGGATTTGTCTTTCCTACTTGTCCAAGGCCAACGTACATGTTCCTGTCCCCACTGAAGATGTCTTTCAGCCTGCTGGAGCGTCTGCTGTGGGCGTTTGGTACCCAAACCTCCCCCCATGGGAAGCGCTGTTGAGGGAAAGATGTGGCAAAACATTGCAAACAGCAGGAAGAGGCTTTTGGAAAACTCTTTTGAAATGATTCCTGGAAGAGGAGGGAGTGTTCTTCCAACAGCTGGAGGCACTTTGGCTATTTACCTGTACGAGTGGTATCAGTGGGTCAGCATCTAGTGCCACGCCGCAGAGGTTTCTGGCCTGACTCTTGGTGAAACGGCAGTGCCCTGTTGGCGTGGCATTTCTGCTCCAGCTAACTAGGCCTGTCATAGAATCATAGAATCACAGAATGGTTTGGGTGGGAAGGGACCTTAAAGCCCATCCAGTTCCAACCCCCTGCCATGGGCAGGGACACCTTCCACTAGACCAGGTTGCTCCACGCCTCATCCAGCCTGGCCTTGGACACTTCCAGGGATGGGGCATCCACAGCTTCTCTGGGCAACCTGTCCCAGTGCCTCACCACCCTCTCTGGAAAGAATTTCTTCCTGATATCTAATCTAAACCTCCCTGATTTCAATTTGTACCCATTACCCCTTGTCCTGTCACTACAGGCTCTTGTAAAAAGTCCTCTCCCAGCACCCTTGTAGCCCCTTCAGATACTGGAAAGCTGCAATGAGGTCTCCTCGGAGCCTCCTCTTCTCCAGGCTGAACCAGCCCAATTCTTGCAGCCTTAACCTGTCGAAAGGTCTGTCACCTTTTCCAGGGCAGGACACTGCTCTAATAGAACCTTGGGCATTTCTAGATGTAGGCAGATCTGCTTCGTGTTGCACTGGGCCCTGTAAACCCGTCAGTTCATCCTGAGCTGACTGAGACACCTCTTACCGTGGTGCACGCTTGCCCTTTGTTTGACTAGTCCACGTGCAGATTTGTGTATCATTTCCTTCTCATGCTGGCTTTTCAAACTGAATTTAAGAGGAAAGAGAAAAAATAAACAGTTGATCAAAAATCCTTCCTTTTTACTTCAGAAAAGGTTGGGGTTTTTTTACTCCCTGCTTACTGTAATGATATGGTTTCCACAAAAAGATGGGCAAAACTGAAATTATATTCTCATCATAGCATCCAAAATGCCACAGGAGGTTTTTTTTGTCTTTTTTCCTGCGCTAAGAGAAAGCTCTGCAGCTGAGAGCAGGATGGAGAGTTTCAGAGTACCCTTTTCAGAGGGCAGAATAGTTTGGGAGTTACTGTGTGTAAAGAGAACGGAGCCCCGAATGACGGTGACTGTAAAGTTAATGTAACTTGTGGAGAGCAAAACAGCCTTCTTTAGCAGTTATTTTGCAACGCAAGTTGGCACCATCAACACACTCTTGAAGTATTTTTCTTTTTTTTCACCAAAATTCATTATTTTGGTTGGCATTTCATAACATGTGGTATCTTGCAGAGGGGAAAGAAGCTGCTCAGTATTTGTTTACATTACAGCTTTTCTCAGAATGCGTTAAGCTACCATGTTAATGCAAAAAACCTAAGGCAACTATGTAACATAGATTCAAGTGATATACGTGACTTCTCTGCCATTTAGCATTTGTCTTTAGGAGGGATTTGGGCCATGTCAAAGCTCAGACTTTGGCTGCCACCTAAGTTCTCTGCCACAGAAAGTTCTAAGTACAGCACAACCAGGAATAAGTGCTCGTGAGACCGCGTAGAAATTTACCATTCTGTTAGTTAACGCAGGTTAATCATTAAATCAGCTGTCTCAGCAGAAACTGAAGAGTAGGCATGGACATTGTGACCTCCTTGCTTCAAACTTTATTTCATGTAGGCTGCTGGGCTTTCTTGGTTATGACTTGATTATCACTGGTTTGGGTTGGGAATCAACAGTTAATAGTGTCAAACAGTGACATTCTTTGAACCTCTCTGTTTGTAGTGTTCACATATCCAGTGGCAAGGTGAGAAGTATAGAGGGGTTTCCGCAGTGGCATCTCTCCCCTTACCTGCGTCCCATTGGAGACTAAGCACTTTGCAACTGCACAAGCATGTACAGTCATGGTTTCTTGGGACAGAGGAAAAAAGCTGATGATTCCCTACTATCTTGATTTGAGAAGTTGAATACAGAGGTCTCCTATTGTTCCCAAATTTGGGAACGTTTCTTAAGGTTCTAGTAAAAGAGATTCATACTGAATCTCTGAGCATTTGTCCAGTGGCAAGTCATTTCTGTATTTTCAACCTGGCTGTTATAATTTTTACAGTTATGCTGTCCTAGAGCTAATTTCAAATATTTCATGTCTTCAGATTTCAGGACCGTGAGGAAAATCACTTTATTATCAGTACCGTGGAGGTTCGGGCTTCGTTTTATGCCCTCCTTTCAGAAATACTGTTTTGTTTTATTTCGGACTTTATTATTTAAAATGTTCTTCAGCAAACAAACCTGAGAATCATTTTAGGTGAGGCAACAAATATAGACCTTGCTGACAGAATTAGCAGCAGCCTGAACTTTTGCTCTAACCGCAAACAAAATTTGGACTCGGAATTCCTTAGCAGTTTTAAAAAAAAATTGGCGACTTTGATTTTTAAACCAATCTACTCACCTTTCAGCTTCCTGGTTTCATGTGTGGGAGGGAATGGAAAGACCAAAACATTACAAGGAAGCTTGATATTTCCAGCCCAGCCAAAACCACAATACCTTGGAAATTCAGCTGAAAAAAAAAAAAAAAAAAACAAAACCCATTGCTGTGATTGAACCTAGTCCTGCTTTCCTCCTGTGCTCCAAGGTTCCCATTAGCTGTACTAGCCACTTGAGGATACAGAGAATCCAGAAGTGGAATCCAGACATTGGGCGAACTCCACAGAGACATACATACTTCTTATTTTAAAGAGTCTGGCTTGTTTTCTACAGCACTACTTGACTGGCTTTCTTGTTAGCAAAGCAGATGACAGCTCTTGTTCAAGCTCCGTTGGAAAGATGCTTTGCAGTATTTCTATAGCTAGACTTGTCTTTGCACTAATTTAAAAGGTAATGAGAATCGTGAGATGCTATAACAGTAATAGTTACAGTACAGCCACAGTGTGGTATTTTTAAACCTCTGTTTCTTTGACAAATCACGTTGAAAGGAGACTGAAATTTCCACAGGCATTCCCATAACTTTTGCACTTTTAATGTTTTCTCCAATCCCTTTGGCATAGTCTGGTATTTATATAGGATGATTTTATAGTATCGAGACCCACAAGAAAAGTGTAGCCTTTTGTTGGCATACAGCTAGTTTTACTCTTTGAGGTTTGCCAATAGGGATTTCCTACCACCTAATTAAATTGAAGCTACAAGGGGGGTGTTATGTGTGTGCTTATATCCCTTGATTATATGAACTACTTTTTTTTTTTCCCCCCACTCTTTCTGTCGCATGTGGGTGTTGTAAAACTCTTCAGTACTGGAATGGAAAGTTCATTCAGTTGCCTGCAGTCAAGTGAATAAAAATGTAAAATGTGGGTCTAAAACAGAGAGCTTAAAACTGCAGTAAATTCATGCTGTTGCGAAACATTGTATCAGAATTTCCTTGTAAAGATGGATGTTTACTTAAACACAGAACCCCCGATTTTTTAAAAAAACTTCTAAAGAAGCTGTCAAAATGTACACTCAAAGTAGCTTCAAATGACTGAGTACTGCAGGACACACACAGTGCTGTGAAAGCTTAGCATAGATCTAGTAGAACAATTATTTTTCTTAATTATCTTCAGCCCTTCTGCCCAAGATTGGGTTGCAGTGAGATGATGTCTGTTGAGAGATGTAAAAGCCAAATCCTAACTGCTTGTCTTTAATGATCACACGTCACTTTAAGGAACTAGCTGCTAATTTGGAATAAAGTGTGCATTAACAAAGAGGCAGAAAGTAAGTAAAAAAATTTATAAGTCAGAACTTGAGCTGAGGACAGAAAAGAAGAATGTAAGTCAGGACAATGAGAGAAAAACAATGCTGAATTAGTTTAAACACAGGCAGTAAAGCCATCCTGTTTTATATACATAGAGAAATGCAATCCAGAAATAGCATTACAAATATTGGGGTGAAGTAAAAGCTAATTAAAATAATTGAGCGCCTTATTTTCTTTCTGTCCTTTTCTTTCTGCCTTTTTTTTTTTCTTTCTTTCTCCTTAGGCTTTCTTTTCTTTCTCTCTCTATTTTCTTATTGAATATGTAAGACTTACATTCATAGCTGGCCAGTGGAACCAAAGAATTCTTCATCTCTCATCTTCTCCAGCTGTCTATGTGAGTGAACAAGTTAACTAGAATGTGTTTTGTGTGGTGCGAATCCAAAACACTCCAGGTTATTCCCACAGCCAGGTATATACTTTGTTCCTGATCTGGTAAAGTGTTTAGGATTGGCTCATTCCCAAGACTGTGATCAGTCAACTAATGGGGCAATTAGTTCCATGATTAGTATAGGAATGACATTATAGGTTTTTTAAGACGTTCACAGGTTTTTATTCAGAATTTTCTCCTGTCGTCCTTTTCACTGTTGTTAGCTTCTCTCTGTATAGTTTCCTCTTCCTCGTTCTGAAACTAGTCACCACCCAAGCTGAGTGCCCAATCCCACTGATTTCCAGAAATGGCCATCACACTTGCATCCTCAAGCTGTTCACTCAGCTCATACGTTACATCCTATTCTACTTTTCTGCGCTGTCATCTCGATCACTTTGTGCCTCGCTGTGGTCAGCCTGTCTACTAGTTTGCCCGTCTACTAGTGCTGCCTACCGAAACAGAAGTGTTCCCAACTCTTGATCATGCAGTATCGTGATAAACATTTTGTGAGCACTCTTCATAGCCTTTACCTTTTTAGGACTGAGCGTGTGCATCCAGTGTTGTCATAGGAAAGACTGAGGGGGGCTCAGTGACCACAGGATTGATTGGTTATGCTACCATGAGAGTGAAGAAAAGAGGGAGCTGTGATCCACCAGGAGTTTTAGGTTCCAGATGTTTTAAAGGGAAGCCTGGTGGCAACCTGTAGCCTAAATCTAATTTTGATGTTTGAGTCTTTCTTGCTTTGCACCCTCTGCAGCTATTTGTTAGTGTGTTTGCAGAGTAACGGTTGGCCCAAGTGTGAGTAGCTGCACCAGTTGCAGAGGAAGAGTGGGGCGTGCTCTTACTCTGTCACATGCTGAAGATAGAAGTATTGAAATAATTCAAAATCAGTGCTGATTGTTAAGGTAGGAAGCGCCAGAAACCTCCTCTGTGAACTAAAGCACGTTGTTCCTTTCTCTGCATGTGTGTAGGTACCAAAATATCCAGCGAACCATTGCAACAGAGCGGACGGAAGATGATGCTGTAGTAAACAACAGGGTGGAGAGAGTTCCCACCGGAGGAGGAAGTGACTCTGAGGCAGAGCCTTCCCAGCCAAGCTCAGGTATGGGGGAAAAAAGGTACTGAGTGGCATGTCGAGTGCCACTCCATGACAGCATTCAGTTCTGGGCAAATCTGCATTTCCATGGGAGAGTGGAGCTTTATTACACCAGGTTGCAAAAGCTAATTGAAAGAAAAGAAGTTTAGACTTGAACCTACAGGTTTTACACCTGAAGCTGTAGGTCGAAGCTAGATACAAAATGCCTCAGTTCTTTTTTAACAACTACTAATTCAGCCAACACATTTTTAATTTAACAAAGGGCTATTTGAAATTTAAATGGAAAAGGCGTCTGGTTTTTGTTCACCCAAAGTAGTTGCAAAAGCAGCACTGTCTTATATGTGCTGCAGTGTGATTTTTATCTCGGGGCATCACGTTTTTTTCTCTCTGGGCATAGCTTCTGCGCTGCCACATTTGCCCGTGCAGTCACACCTGCCTTGGCATCCAGTATGAAATGTTTGGTCTTAAAGCCAGAGTTTTGTGATAGGTATGAGCTGATCTAAGCGTGGGCTGTCACTGTGATGAGCTGTTAGCGCATCACTAACTTATGTGACAGGACCCTATACAAGGGCAGAAAATGGATCTGCCTGAAAAAAAAATCTTGTATTTAATGTTGTTTACAGCCAGATTGGTTCTTTCTCTGGCTCATTAGATGCCCAGACAAGTGTCAGTACGAACGGACAAGAGGAGAACGTGTACCCAGAGCAGGATGGATGGGCAGAGAGCTCTTCTACTCTTTTTGGTGGTAGTCATGCTCACATTTTCTTAAGACATTTGTGAAACCATAGCCCAAGAGTTTGTTTTGGGTAAGAAGCATCAGCGATCAGACTAGTGCCCACTATGCAACTTGTGGACACGTGAGATCAACCGTCTGCTTTGTTTGAGAATTTGTGCCAACAAAGTGCCAGTTCTCTTCCTTTGGATCATTCTCACCTCCACCTAACGTTGTGGTCTATATTGTCTACTGGAAGTAAACCTGATTTTTTGCCATCCTTTTGCCATCCCTCTGTAAACAGCATCGGCAAAGGGAAAGAACCAGCACAATGTCTGCGTGAATTTTCTGAATGTTCCACATCGAATAGGAAGAATTACACAGAGAAATAGTAAATGGGGTTTTTTTTAACAACTTTAGGAAAACACTCAGTTTTCCCTGTTTGTTTTCCTTATCCATTAGGTGTTTTGAGCTTGAAAATCAGTTTTGACCAAGAATGTTTAATGTTTGATATTCAAAGCTTCTTTGCAGTCCTATGTATTGCAATTTATGGGAAACTTTTACCTACACTGGACCTTGTAGGGACAACCCAGTCCTCTGTTAGCAGCTGAAATGGAAATGAGGTACACATTGTATTATTAGTATTTAAATTATAAGTAATGCAGTCATTACTTGCAATATGTATAATCCTTTACTATCATACCCTACGTAATAAAATAGTAATTTAATAGGAATTGCTACCAGTGAGTATTTAGGTCAGCTTTTTATGTAACATTCCCTTTTTTGTTTTCAGCCTGAAGAGCTAATGAGTATGATACATGTCATCTTAAGTGATTAGGACATGGGTTTTGCTGTAGACAGTTGCTTTGCTTTTAAGAGGAAAAGTTAATACTGTATGAAATGCCAAGAATTAAAAGAGCAGGGGTGATGTAAACGACACTAGAATAAGAGAAAGCTGCAGTATGATACATTTGCTATTTGCCTTTTAATTTAAATGAAAAATGTCAGAAGGAATACAATTTAGGTACATTAATCCAGATTCTAAGCCATCATAAATCAATTTAACTGCAGCAGTGGATCCGGTCTGCAGTTTTAAGGAGATAGCATATAGGATGTGTATAGGAGGAAGAAAAATAAAAGTGATAGTTGATAGGAAAAAATGGGAATCTGTATTTATTCCGTTGATGATGTCTGCATCCAATTTCCTTGGACTGCAAATCAAAGTTGACTTGTGTTTGAAAACGCCAGAACTGCATACTCCAGCCGTAAGTCCATGGTAGGAGGCATTTTTCTGGTGGCTGGAGAAGGTTAAGGAGTTCCCACCTCTGCAGAGCTTACGTTCTCAAACGCTCAGTTCTGCTCCTGTGCTTCAGGAATGGATACAGAGTACAAATGATCTCTTTGTGTCCATTTTTGTTTTCTTTGCCATACAAGTCCCCAAGGCCATGGACTTGCCAAACATAATGCAGTTACAAGTAAAGGGCAATGCTTTGCAGCACTAACATGGATGTGAGTGGCTGAGCAGGGGGTTTCCTTCACCCATTCTTGTTACCAAATGCTGGTGAACCCAGTGAAAAAAAAAAACAACCTCAGGCTGGACTGGGAAATCAGATCCCTAAAATCAGCAATGGGCTGACCTGGGTGACAGTGTTGAGGAGCATCCAGCTCCTGCCCTGCTACTGGAAGCACTGCAGCACTAACCACAAGGAGAATATGTCTACCAGTTTGGCAGCAGGCTTGCCTCGGAAATGCAAACGAGGTAGGGTGTGGGGCAGGATGGTGACTTCTTATGCCATCATTTTTGCAGCCATTCAGTAAAGGTTAGATGATCGACTGTGCTTGCCGCTACGTTAGTAAGATCTTGCTGCTTTTTGTTTTGTCCAGAGATTAGGAGGGATGGTTCCCTTTCTCCTGTGAATTCTCAGAAAATCACCTTGTTGCTGCAGTCTCCAGCTGTGAAGTTTATCACCAATCCCGAGTTCTTCACTGTGCTGCACGCGAACTACGTGAGTAATTATGATTTGGTCTCTCGCACTACTGATCTCTCAGTCCTAACACTGTGCCGCAGGCCTCCGGGGAGAATGAATTTGAGTTGCGTGACTTGGGACACAGTTGTTCTTTCTGCTGAGCCACAAGATCAGGTTGGGGACAGGACAGGCAGGCTGCTCCAAGGAGGCTCTTGCTGGGGTTCTGCTTCACACAAGGAATTCCCTGGGACAGAGAAGTTTAATGTTAACCTTCCTGAGTAAGCAGGAACCCTTGCTTTTGGCTTGGTTGATTCCGTTGTCTGTTGCCGCAGGGTGTGTGGTTAACATGGCCTTTTGAGCCATCTTCCTGAGAAATCTTACTCAGACACTACCAGGTTTCAGGGAAATAGAACAAAATGGTGCAGTTTGGACTCCCAAGAAGCAGGTGGGCATCAATGCAGTGAAAGAAACACTGGCGTGATTCTGTGTGGCTATTTTGGAAAAAACAAGAATGAAAATGAAATTTCAAAATTTAAATAACTTAGGGTTTTTTCCCGTTAATGCAGTAAACCTGCATGTTTTCTTGCAAACCCGGTAGGGAGTGGAAAAAATGTCATGGTAGGTAAACCAGAAGGAAGAAAGAGAAATCTCACAAGCAGATGCAATCCTAGTTTTCCATATCTTGAACGTAGTTCAGCTAGGCATCTGCACACGACTTCGGAATATTTGGAAAGTCGTCCGTTTCTGAGTAGGTGTGACCTTTCTTTGTGAAAGGAAAAGATATTAAAAGACTTCAGGAGTTGCCTCAGCACAGGTCTTTAGCTGACTACAGACATCAAGTTTTGGCTGTGGCGCTTTGCGGGCTGAAGCCAGCTGTCCGTCTTCAGGCATCTGCCAGAGATTATTGCCAATGAAATCCTGCAGAGGAAGGGATGTGTTAACTCATCTGACACTACCTGAACTAGGTTGTGGAGTGCATGTAATTTCTTCCATGGACAGAGTGATGCATGATGATTTATAGCTGGGTGCAATATCAGTTTCATTTGGCATAGTTGTCTGCAAAATGAGCAACTGATTCCATGGTGGTGTAAGGAACGGCTCGCAAGAGACTGAATCCCAGTTCTATTTCTCAGTGAAATAAAAAAAAGCCAGGAGAGGCTTTCAGTTTGAGCTTATAAAGTTGTCTCTAATATGAGAGCCAGAATGATCTGTTGTAACGTCTGTCAAATGGTCATACAGGTTCCACTTGTACAGCAATAATGGCCCAGGTAACTTTGGGCTTAACACAGCTGTAGTATTTTAACCACAAGCCCCTATTAAAACTTGAAGCTATTAATTATGCCACTGAAGTTGGGTTTGGAAAATATTATCCAGCAGTTAGAATTAAAAAGGAAAGACACTCATTTTTCAGGTATTTCATTTCCAAGGGGGAATGAAACCACATCACACTTTTTGTTTCCCTAGCACAGCTAAGAGATACTCAGTCAGTCACTGATCACACATTAGATCGAAATGCAACTTCTGTCACGGAGGAGGCTGGGATCGTAGCAATTTGTGACCGTGAAGCTTTGCTGGGTTAAAACCCAGTCACATCTTCAGGGCAGAGATCATATCTCTGTCGTTTCATAACATTTACCAACCCTTGCCATAATTAGGGACCCTGTGCTGCAGGGCGTATTCCCAGCGCTACCACCACCATAAATCCTTACATAATAAAGATAATACTTGTAAATGTTTTACTGCCTTGTAGTGGTTAAAATGCATTAAAAGTACACAGAAACTGAGATTTCAAAGCTGTCGGGTCAGATTCCCTGGACAGATGACAGGTGTGCACACTGGGGCTCACTTCACTGGAAATGTGAGTCCTCCAGTGATCCTTTATTATTCCAGTGAGCAATTACATCCTTTGGGCTGACCAGCAGAACCGACACACTCATTTCTTCTCTAGGGAAATGCTCGGAAGCGTTTCAGATTTTTGCAGTTTCCTACCCTGTCTTGAGGAGCTTTTTACCTGAAGTAAAAGATCCTAAGGGCAGCCTGTGGATGAGAAAACCTGTTGTTACTTCACATGTATTTTGTGCTGCTCTATCACTGAATACACTGTGGCAATAAATATAGTTCACTTTGGCCCCTATTTTGCATCAGATCAGGATGAATGAACTCAGATCTGCATCAGGGCACGCTGCTGTAGGAGGTGTATTTAATGCCCGTTGAGATACAACTGGCTGCCTGAGGGGTGGCATTGATCCAGTTCATGGAAACATCTCCAACTGACATGCTTTGCAGTCATTATAGAAACAAGTACTCGTTCCAAGAAACGATTCATATCTTCCAGAAATAGACAATTGAAGGTGTCTGTTTCTGTCCTCTGGCTAGAAAGTGACTGTGAATAAGGTAGCAAGCCTAGATGTAGACATCAGCACTCCAGTCCTCTTCAGTTCATGGACCCTATCACAAGCATCTTGATTTGAATTATAGCATAAATACATGTTCACAGCTGTCTTTGCATGTCTCTGGCCTCATCCAGTCACACAAGCAGTGTTTCTCTTGGCCAATGAAAGCAGTGAAACAGGCACACTACATGCTGACCATCTTTTGGAGTGAATTAGAAAGGCAGTTTACACACAAGCTACTGTGCAGAATGTGTGAGGTGTTTCACTTTCCAGATTATTTCTAGGTGTTCATATAATGTAGTTAATAAAATCAAAACAATGAGATGGAAACAGTTCTTGATTCCACCAGGATTTGTTTCAGTTCTTTGGGCGTATGACATAACCAAAGACGACGTTTTGACGTCAGAAAGGGTTTTCCTCACTTCCGTTTTCCATCTCACAGAGTGCCTATCGAGTCTTCACTAACAGTACCTGCTTGAAGCATATGATTCTGAAGATCCGTAGAGATGCTCGTAATTTTGAGCGCTATCAGCACAACAGAGACCTGGTAAATTTTATCAACATGTTTGCTGATACCCGACTGGAGCTTCCTCGCGGCTGGGAGATAAAAACCGACCAGCAAGGCAAGGTAAGAGTGCCAACAAAACCAATCGCTTGTTTAACACAGCGCATCAGGCTGCTTGACCACTAAAGGTTCCTCCTTCTTGACTCAAAACTGGGGAAGATTTGGTTTAAATAACACAGGCAGTAAGCAGAGTTATTTCAGAAGCAGAGACAAACTTCAAGAAGAAGTGTTTTGAAGCCCAGTGGTGACCCTCTAGCTTTCTGTGGAATATCACACCACAGCCAAGGCAGCATTGGACTAAGAAAAAAGTTTAAGCCAATGTTTAGATTTGCCATGACTGCAAAGTTTGGGTTATTGTCTCTGCCTCCAATGGGGCTCTGCTGGGTGACTTCTGCAACCACCAAATAGGCTAAAGTAACATTCCTTGGTAATTTCATTCACTTCTGTCATGTTTACTTCATGGCACATCATTTTGACCTACATAGCTCCAGGTATTTTCCAAGAGCTAAGGATGTCCTGTCATTGGCGCTATCTTCCATGGACTGTGCCTAAGCAGGGTATTTCTGACACACAATTGCCAGTAGGTTTCACTTTACCATCACTGTGTTGGCAGTCTTCTTGCCAAAAAAACATTGTTCCTGTGTGTTTCAGTCTTTCTTCGTTGACCACAACAGCCGTGCTACCACGTTCATAGATCCTAGGATCCCGCTCCAGAATGGTCGTCTCCCTAATCACCTGACTCACAGGCAACATCTTCAGCGACTTCGTAGCTACAGCGCTGGAGAGGTAACAGAGCTGGTGTCAATACAGTTACTTTTGACAGCAATCTTCTTTAGAGTTAAAAGCGCTTCTTACCTTTAGAATTTGTTTAAACAGACTGTCTTGTAGATTTTTATCTTCCAAATGAAATAAGAGATTTTTTTTTTTCTTTCCAAAGGGTTTATCTTGGAGCTTTCTGGTAATAAAGATTAATGTTTTGACCATTTTCAGAACAGAATAATAAATAAGTAAAATTAAATAACCAAAATTAAATTATGGCAAAATAGATTTTAAAAGAAGAATCCATATTTGACATCCTAGTTTTGCTTTTTAGTAAAGGGAAGTCATTCATTATTTTTATAGCCTGATATTTCAGCAGCCTCATGTCTTTCTTCATTCCCTCTGAAGAGATTTACTCCTTAGCAGAGGTAGTAACCTATTTTGAGGTTTGTTTCCCTAGCTTTCAGTCACATTAAACATCTTTCCTATGTTTCATGGGGATGATTTTTATCACAGAGGGGCATGGGCAGGATTAATAGAAGCATAAATCCTGCGTTTGTGTTGTGGATTGAAGGAGGAAAAAGTACCAGCACTCAGGATCTTCAGATAGGAAATCCATACAGTTAAAGATTTGTAAGGATTGAAGCTGAATAAGAGTAGAGATGAATTAAGACCAAAGGATCTTCCTCTTCCAGAAAAACATTCAGAGAAATGCTTGTGAAATTAATGTCAAAACTCATTGCAGCAGGGTCAATCTGAACACCTCCCACTGCCAAATGGGGTTGGGATATTGGGAGCTGACCAGGGTGTGAGGTCAATACTTTGGGACCAAAGGCAAACCAAGCATGAGTAGCTTGGGTAGGTTTTCCTCATACTGGATGAATATGGCAACATATTTTCTGAAGGTAGAGGTGTATCAATGGGTCTGTTCCAACTGTATCTTCCCAGCAACTCAGCAACTTCCCTCGGCCAACAGCCGGCAGGTTAGTGTTGCTATTGTGACTGGATTGTTGATGTGAATGTGCAAGTCACCTGCATGATGATTCACGTCTGGGCCCATGCTCACCTGGGGCTTGCTTACAAATTCACCGCGTCAGGGACAGAAACACCGCTGAGCCACGCAGGTGGCCTAGCCCAAAAACTACACTTGGCAAGGCTGGCCAAGAACCATTTGCAATAAACCCAAAGTATCGAGTACAGGGAAGGCAGTGAAAAAGCATTGGATACTCTTGAGTAGTGATTCTCGGCGGAAATTGTAAACTGTTCGTTGAGGCCAACGATTTGGCAGCATCAGCCAGTGAAACGGGGCCTTAGTCTCGGAGCCGTCAGCGCTGTCACCTTCATCTGACAGCCTCAGTGGCCCGGGTCCCACAGTGCTTCTGCACCCATGTTGTAGCCGGTAGGTTCCCTTCTGGAAGTATCTGCTGTTCCACTGGAAGGACTCCCATTGGTTTCCAAGGACTTTGGATTGGTGCCTAAAAGCTTACCATTTACAAGGCAAAGATCCAACCCTTTTCAACTCAGCCCACTTATTAAGAGTCACATGTCCCATGCCATTTCTTCCAAGGATATTTGGATGTCCTTTTGTCCTATAAATCATGTCTGTAGGGATGCACCTGGGGCTTTGTCCTGGCCGTGTGTCAGCTGTCTGCAGTCCAGCAGGTTTCTCTACTGAGCAGGTGGTGTGACCATTATTACGGTTCTAAGGAGTTGTGATCTCAGTACTCAACAGTGGGGGGAAAAAAAAAAAAAGTCTGGAATCCTTAGAAAATTAATGGAAAGATCTGTTTAATCTAGGAGATGACAGGCATTACAGGAACTAAGGTTTGGTGGTAAAAGCCAAACTAATTCAATCAAAATAAGGCAAGGTTGAAAGTCAGTCAGAATAGTCAGCCATAAGAACTAATGATTATGTGGGTATTGGGTCTCTGTTTCTTCGTACTTTCAAGCCAAAACATAGTGCAAAAGCCAGTTTTGCCTTATCACCAAGAAGTCTCTGAACTCCCTGGCCAAGGGCAGTCGGGTGAATGGGTTGTGGTGTTGAAGTAAAAACAGTGATCTCCTGCTCTCCCTCCCATGATACCCATGAAGCTTCTAAAACCTTTTGGCTCATCAAAATGTGGCCTTTATTGCTGCCTAATAACCTGTGGTGTTGAACAGAACACCTTGCAAGACTAATAAAGAACTAGTTTTTAGTATTTCAAATGTACCTTTAAAACTCCCTCGTGAAATTGGAACATAAAAAATACACTTTCTCAAATATGGCAGTTTTCTTTGGTTTATGGTATTTGAAGTTCATTCTCAGTAGAGGATAGAAATAGCAGTTGCACAGCTTTTGTAGGCGACTAGTTCTTGCTTCCAAGTGCTTTTATTCAAGGCCTGCCCCAACTATTGACAGGCCCAGCAGAGATTAAAACTGCTCTTTTACCCTTAATCTGTATATGGTGACCTGTTTTTAAAAAATATCTGTGCATATAATAGCACCCCATTTCCCTCTTCCCAGAAAGAAAGCATCCATTTCATAAATTACTCCATAATATTTATGTTTATCTTCATGTTGAAGTATTCTCCTAAAGGAAGGACCTCTGTAAAAACTTTCGCTGCGCACCTGAGTAGACTCTTTATATTAAATGATATTATATATTAATTTGACAAAAATGCCACAGATTCTTTAGTAAGTATAGAATCATGGAATCATAGAATGGTTTGGGTTGGACGAGACCTTACAGATCATCCAGTTCCAACCCCCCTGCCATGGGCAGGGGCCACTTTCACTA